CCTCCTCCTCCCTCCCTCCCTCCCTCCCTCCCTAAACCCTCCCTCCAATTTAGTCTTGAATGCCCTAAAATGTCATTCATTCATTCATGTACGGCTTCTGTATTTAGGATTTTAAATTGGTTCCCTCCCGCAGATGTTGACATGAGAGGAGCCGAGCTGAAGTTTGAGGACACGGACGGTCCGAGTCAGTTTGACCTGATCATGCACACGGGCTCCATGTGCACCTACTGGGACATCCCGTCATTCGAGGACTTCGTGGCCGCCGTGCGCAGCTCGCGCCAGGGAGGAGACGCTCTGAAGGACTGGTGTTACAAGTTCCCCATGAAGTACGTACAACATTCTTCACTTTGACTTGACTTTATTGGGATCCACACTTAGCTTACAAAAATTGTATTGCAGCTATTCTTCCTGTGGTCCTTCAAGACACACATGACAAACATTTACGAAACATAAATACATTGACAACAATTACAACATATTAACACAGCTTAAATTTAAATAAGACTATATACATCATCACCACTTCATTTCATTCCAGGCACTGGCCATCCTATACAAAAATCTTCCTTGGAGAGACAGCCTTCGTTTTCACATCACTCATAATATGTATAAATCAACAAAAGCCAACAAAATGCACCAGTAGACTCACCATACTCTCCGGACTGGCTGTCAACACAAAATGAAGGAAACTACAATTTTATGTTAGGCGTTTGGAGAAGAAATCAAACCTGTTGGTAAAAAAAGCCGTGTCATATTTTCAAACACTAAAAAAATCACAAACTCAAACCATAGAACACATAGAACAGGCCATGATCCAGTGTGATCTACTTGAAAATGACTAAAATAGATAAAATGAAATATAATAGAAACACAGCTAAATTTATCAAAAGAACAAGAATTGTATTCTTTTTTCTTGCAACTTTTTAAAAACAAATTTTTATTGTAAATCGTGACAAATCGACATATGTCTGTTTCTGAAACTTTCAGTTACTACAGTTTGGTGGATAACGCCCGCCGGGCCCCAACCTCCTACAGCAACATGAACTACTACAGCAGGCTGGCCACAAAGTTCAAGGCCAAGGACGGCGCAGTCCGGTATGTAAAATTCCGTCTGGTTCCAGACGAGCAGCAAACGGAATCCGGACTCCTACCTCCGGAAGATCAGGAGAAGGCGTGGTACGTACATCATCGTAGTCATGGCTTTAAGTCAATCTTCTTAAAAAGTATGTTTAAGATATGATACAGAGAAACACATAGACCCCCTAGCGGCTTGTTAAGGTACTACAGCGGAACGACTTTTTGTAATTTCTTGTTGGTTTCTACAGTTTCGACCAGTGCAGAAATGGATATGGGCACTACCCTACGCTCTGCATAAGGGCACGGGAGACTTTTCCTTTCCTTTACTTTCCTTTCCTTTCTACAGTATATTCTTTAGAACATGTGTGAAATATAACTGTTTTTGTGCAGGGAAAAAGGCAGGTATCCGGATGATACCCGACCGAAGGACTACCTTCGTCAGGAGTACGTGAACAGACTGAGGTGGACACCCATCCGGTATCGTCTGCAGATACAGATCCACGAATGGAAGGACGGAGACACATTCAACTTATTGAATCCTTACAGGTAAGCATTATGTAGGTGCATACATTACACGACAGCTTACATATTAGCAACACTTAAACTTCTTTGGCCGAGCTCCCTAAATCTTCAGGTCGATCGGTGTAATATAGCCAGCTGCCGCCGCGCCGCGTGCCTGCGAAGCTGGTGTGTTACGCCGAAAGGCGGTTATACCGGCTATACAGATACAGATACAGATCTTGATCCAAACTTGAACGACATTTAAAGATTACGTAAACTGAGCCACGCATATCCAACCTAGTGCATAGTACTCAGTGTATAGTGAACTAGACTTTCAGATCAAGGCAATCCAGCCTAAACCAGCCTTAAATAGCCTTAACGCTATTGGTCAATATCTTAAACTCAAGCAGAGCGCCCTGCACTAGAGATACACAGGAAAAGGTATACAAGAAGGAGTGGTCCGATCTATGTCATTCTTGAGAAAGACAAGTAAAGTCGAAACTGGTCGAATTCCGTCTCTGCGTTGTCATTTTCCCAAAGCTACGAACCGAACCACTTGTAACAATATATGTTATGTCCGTAGGCTCTGGAGTCCGATGCTGCACACCTGGGCCGACCTGGCCCTGGTGACAATCACCACACTACTGTCAGACGCCACCACGCAAAGGACGACGTTCAACATCGGCAACCTGCCGCCGTCGATGGAATTCGACGAGCCTTTCTCAATCTACGACTACAACAGTATAGCCAAGATGTACTCTGCCATTCAGTCCGTGTACAAGCCAACGCTCAGCAAAAGCCCTACCCTCCAGAACGGCCCAGCCGACTACGACTTCGTGAAATACAACGTGGAAGTCACTGTCCGCCATGTTGTTGGGAGCAACAAGGGGATTCTGATCAGCCTGACCGGGCCCTGGACGCGAACCGAGCCGATCCAGATTGGACAAGGCATCGGCAACAGCATCGCCCCGGGAAGGAAGCAGACCCTGGAGGTGGAGGCGTACGATGTCGGCGAAGTCGTGCTGGTGTCAATCGAGAAGGTTAAAGATGACGACAGCTGCGACTACTTCATCGAGAACGTGCATGTCCATGACCTTCAGAGAGGGTTGAAGTTCGAGTTCCCTGCATACCGATGGCTGGGGAAACGCCTCACACTGAGGAGAGGAGCAGGTACGTTGTCACCACACCTCGCTCTTCGTTTGTGCGAGAAAGGTACACGTGGGACATGTTTTTACCATTTTGAGTTTCATGCTTCCACCTCTAAAGATTCTTAACCAATTTGACCTTCATTGTTACCAAAAAATCAGAATTTGTTTGCAACATTGTGTTATTTCGCAACATTTTGTTATTGTTTCTGTACATAATTGTCTTATAAAAATGTGGAAAATTGTACTCGATTCCCCCTGCTGAGTTGTGAGCAATACATTTAGTTCATTGGTCTAACATTGGTTCATTGCTCAACAGTTTCCTTGAACGACGGAGCGAAAGGCGACCTCGAGGCGCTCCACCGTCAGATGGAGCTGTGGCAGGGGCATGACGGGTACAAGTGGTCCCACGACCAGCCGGCCTTCCCCGGAGGTCTGGACCTGACGAGAATCCCACACGACGTCCGGCGAGACAGTGAGAGGCTGCCGGAGTTCCGGATCCAAAAGGGCGCCGGAAGCATTTTTGCATCGAAGATCGCGAAGGGCCTTGGAGACTACGAACAACTGATGGAGTCAGCAGTAAAGGAGGTTCCGGAGTTCATCCAGAACTGGAAGTCGGACGAGGAGTTCGGACGACAGTTTCTGAACGGAGTCCACCCGCTAGCTATCCGGCGGTTCGACACGGTGCCGCCGAAGTTCCCGATGACTGCGGGCCGACTGAAGGAGATCCTGGCAAAAGACAGAGGGTGGAGTTTGCGCCAGGAAATTGCCGTAAGTTCGATGTCATATACGAAGATATGTTGATCTTCATAGTAGATTCTTATCCCTAATTCTTATTTTTCCTATTGCCTGAGCTAAGATGTGTCCCTAAAAGCGACTTTTCTTCTATTGTCAGGCTGGACACATGTACTACGTCGACTGTTCCTTGATGAAGGGGCTGAGTCCAAACCTTGCCGGGGAGGAGGTGTTCTATCATGCGGCGCCCATAGCGCTCTTCCACGCCAACAGCAAGGGACACTTCGTCCCCGTGGCCATCCAGGTAACGACATCTCCTACATTTTCTTTTCATTCGTCAAACAGAAACCACTTGCACGTTCTCATGCCCTACGAATTTTCAACGTTACCCTATGCGACTATGCGTCACATACAGATTTATACATATACTAGTATTCAAATGCAACGACTCTCATAATGCAAAAATAGGTAAATACATAAAAGACTGTTTTGTTATGCCGAAACTCACGATTAGCCCAACTTGATTATATACTGTAAGTATTAGCTCTTGGTGGTTACCAAGTAGGATGTTTATCTTCATCATTCTATACCCTTTTCTTTCTTTTTGTACACTGTATTCAATAGTCGTTGTCATACATTGTACTATGTACAATTGTCGTGCAATAAAGTTATTCTTCTACTTGCAGTTGTACCAGGGTCCTGGTCCCGACAACCCGATCTGGACTCCGGATGACGGGGAGTACGAATGGATGCTGGCGAAGCTGTTCCTGCGCAACTCGGACGCGCAGATCCACCTCAACGTCTCCCTCTACCTGCACTCCCACCTCCTAATGGAGGCCTTCGCCGTGGCACTCTTCCGGAAGCTGCCGTCGCCGCATCCGGTCCACAAGCTGCTGGCGCCGCACCTTCGTCGGGTTCTGGGCGGCAAGGTCCGACTCCGCGACCTGGTGACGGAGGATGGGTCGGTTCTGGACGAGATCTGCTCCCTGTCAGCCAGCGGCAGGAGGCACCTCATCGCCACCGGCTTCCAGGAGTTCCACCTGAGGAACCTGCACTTTCCAGCCATGATGGCGGACAGGGGGATCGACGATCCTTACAAGCTTCCAGGTCAGAAAATCGTGATGTTACTTGTACTGTTAAGTTGTACTTTATAGTACTAGTTAATACAAGCAATGCTGCTAAAGTTTACTACTGGTAAATATAATATGTCCATGTACACATTGCAACATATTATAAGGATTGTAATTGAGAACGCCACGGTCACAACAGATTTGCTTGTAGTTGAAAACAGCACAGACAATGATTCAAAGATCAAGAGGAATTGTGGCTTAATTATGTACAACCGTTACGCTCATAGGCTACTTCTACCGCGATGATGGGTTTCGGCTGTGGAAAGCCATTGAGAAATTCGTTGAGGAAATCCTCCGGCTCTACTACAAAAACAACACGTTTATAACATCGGACAAGGAGCTACAGAGTTGGATCAGAGATGTCCGGAAGAACGGCTTCATGCGCGAGACGCTAGGAGAGAAAGGTAGAGTGTTGAAACAATCTTGTATTATGCTGCTTAACTAGACTTTGTTCATTCAGTGTTGTATCAGAAGTATAGATATTATACGTCACAGAATTACATACCTACTTCCAGGATTGCAATTTCGGGCAATATAAGTACAATATACAGGATCGTGCTACCTTTACCATTTTGTAGACAAGTATGATCAAAATGCACATTGGGCCACTGTTTAACTTACCGTCATAAGGACTGCAACCATTTCCAGTAGCGTGAATATCAGGGGATTAACAGCAGCTGGGATTAGAACCCTCGACCCCATTGTCTAGAGGCAGGGTCAAAAGCACTGGACTAGACTACGCATGAAATTGATTGAACTTTTAGATTTTGACTTTAATTTCTTTACTACTACAGGAGTTCCCAAGGTCCTGTACACCGTCAAAGAGTTGGTGGACGTGGTGACTATCGTCATCTTCACCTGCTCTGTTCAGAACCGCGCACTGACTGCTGGGATGCGCGACATGGCCACATGCGTTCCCAACATGCCTCTCGCGCTCAGGTACAAATCATCTGATCTCAAACACGTTATAATTACATGTACGTGGCCTGTTTCTCATATTTGTCATCGGCAAAAAGGATACTTTGTTAAAGTACAAAGAACTAGAGGGATAATGTTTATCTTTATATGTCTGTTTATTATTACTCAAACACACACACACACACACACACACACACACACATATATATATATATATACAGACCATCCCCTCCAACCACTTGGTACATAATGTAATCCAACAACATAGGGAGCTTGCTACAGCACCAGTTACCATGGTGACAGCCGTCTGGCTCAGGTCATTGTTTTATTTGTTTGAAACGGAAGAAGATGGAACGGAGCAAAACAATCATGTTATCCTAGACATAACTAAATGCTCATCTAATGTTTTGGTGTTCCAGACAATACGGGTTTGCCAGACAGGCTGACAAAGAGAATGAAAAGGAGAAGAACAAGAAAGAGGGAGAGAAGGACCAACTCATCGATGAAGACGGGTTCGTGATTGCGACACCTGGCGAGCCTGAGATCTTGAAGAAGATTCGTGGCACGTACCTCGACGAGGAAAAGGACTTCAAGGAGTTGACCAAGGCTACGTTTGAGGACATCATGGCGGCTCTTCCAGACAAAGTCGTCGCCAGGAAACAAATAGACTTCGCTTTGGAAATGTCGAAACTTCCGGACGATGAGGCAAGTACAACGCCGCCCTGCATAGTTTCCAACGTGTAATGCACTTATGTATACTGATTCAGTGCTATGTACAAACAAAGAAGTCAAAATCATAATACAATTCACTCATAAGAAATCAAATTGAAACTCGTAAGATAACATTTGTTTACCTTCACTGCTTCCGTGACTCCATGAGCAGTGGATCGTAGGTTGCAGAAAGTCTGTGGCGCCCCCCGTCTCTGTCGAGGGTTGGCTGTAACGCCCTGATGTACAGGCCAATACGTGATGATTCAATAACAGTTGAACTATATTACCTGTGTTGATTCCAGGCGTTCATCGGAGAGTACCGCGACTGCCACTTCACGGAGGACAAGGCTCAGGCGGCCGTGCTGAAGTTCCAGGAGTCCCTACGGCAGATCTCCAACACAATGAAGCTGCGGAACGAGCGGAGCGGGGAGTACGAGGGACAGGAGTTCACCGTCAACATGTTCTACGAGGAGGACGATGACGCCACGCAGGTGGAGGTCACACAGGTGCGTGGAGAGAACTTTGACCTTGTCACGCTTAAACGGTACCGGTTTTACTTCAAGTAGTGGGAAATTATTGATTGGTAAATTCCAAGCAGATCCTAGGGTGGCATAAGACAGTACCAAATTGGCCAGGCAGTACCCATTGGCCAGACAGGGTCCTGTCTGGAGATTAACTTATTGGCTTTTGTGGAAAGATCAAAACACAGTTCTCTTCAATAAATCTTTCAACCGACCAGTTTAAGTCTGTACACACCGGAATTGGTAGTTTTTGAGATGTTTCAGTCTTTAATGATTCTATTTGTTTGATTTCGAACTTCATGATTGATTGGCTTTTAAGGAGAGATTAAATGTTTTCAGTTTTCTTCAGCAAAACTTTCACACAAAACTTTCAACAATTCTGTTTGATGCTGTAGATAATCATAGATGTAGATGGCAATAGTTTTTGAGAAGTATAACAAAATGAAATGTCCTTCTGAATGTGTTGGCTGATGTCACACTGTAAACTGGTCTTGTAACGAACGGAATCTTGCCATTCAATTCCCAGGAAAGTGATTTTATCAAACCCACTGTTTCCTGTTACTAGGTGATGCGAGAAAAGACGGAGAAGCCAGAGGAACAGCCCTACACCTACCTCCTGCCGGAGCAGATTCCGTTCAGCGTTACTCCGTAGGAAGTCTTCATGTCAGTCACTGTTTGGCGTCTCTTATACTGTCTCGTTGAGCACACCGTGTACGTGACATGTATCTGATTGCTACCGTTTTGTAATAGTACTTGTCGCCATTTTGTTATAATGAATGAATGGAGACCTTTATTGTACACACATACCCACTGGGTTAAGTACAAGAACAAAAAGGATGGAATATAGATAACGTTACATACATACATCGTCATGTAGCGACAAGTAAATTCGGTTTCTTCTCGTTTCTTAGTAATGGTAAGAATAAAAAGGTAAGAACAAATATGTTTCAATATAGAAGGTTTGTCTAAGCTCATTAGTTCATTTATATGTACAGCTTAGATGTATAAAGAAGGGGAACATAGATTGTATCAGATTGTAAAGATCTACTCTCTCTTCGTGGTATAGTTTACATTCTGTTACAAAATGTTTCTCATCTTCTAATCTTCCTAGATCACAATACTGACATATTCGTTGTTCTAGGTTATAGCAAATGGTAGTAATCATAAAACGTATATGGTCTATATAATGGCCCTCTCAGAAAAGGTCTCTATGGGTACCTAATATCTGTTGTAGTATAACGTGTTTGAAATTATTGACTAACCAGCTACTATATTGTGGCCAGGTGTATATTTATTGGGCAATACTAACACATATAAGCATGTGAAATCTTTGCACCAAACAGCGAACCAAATACATATGTTTAGCACCAGGCTTAATTTGGCGCGGTTCCTCATGCCTGTCAAGCAGTTGGCTACAAATAACGCCAGAGCCCAAGGCCACTGGTGTAAAATTTCAGTGGGCGGACGAGCTAGGCCAAGTGATGAATATACTACATGTATTAGTCTGGAACGAAAAAGGGCAAGGCTCCCTGCACTGTGAATGGTTCGCAAGATCTAGATACTTCCATTGCAGTTGGAACAAATTAACAGAAAATGTTTCCTTGTATGGCGGCATGATGTTCAACTATTCCATTTTCAGTTTGCTGTGTTCTCTGAATCCATCTTTAAAGTCTTATACACGTTCATGATACATGTATAATTTTACATTTAGCTTTCAGTATATACATTTCTTGAATTAAGTTTTTGAATGAAATCAATATACTGTACATTATCTTTCAATTTGCATATTAATGTTTTAGTTTGTTTAGAAAGGGATTTATTTTCGTGGGTTTATAGTCCTAAATGTACCAGATAACGTTAGAATATCTTATTCCTCCCATAGGAAACAATTGTGATTGATTACTAACCTAAAAATATCAGTCTTATCAAAATTCCGATGTAACCTTGCACCAGAGCAGCTAAGAATAACCACCAAGAATCAACTGTGTGCACTGATATCGACAACGTTTATTGGGAGCAATATAACTTGTAGATTTCTCTGTAGCTTGGCCATTACAGTTTACACGGTTTATGGGTGCTGACAACGTCAGGGCTTATATATCAAACGTACAAAAACGGTCACAAAACTACAAGGCATGATATCGGTGGCAGTCATCATTACTAAAATGTAAATGTGACTCGACTCGGTAGGATTAGAAGGCCTACGAAAGTCTAACTACGTAGAAATCTTTATGCTGTTCTAACGTAGCAAATATAACTACCTGGAATTTAAAGAAGAAATTGTAAAAGTACACCAGTTAAGGCAAATAAACATAACTATTCTTACAACTAAGACTGTTTCTCATGAGCTCATCGTTATTCTGTGTGGTTGAGGTCTAGGTCATAGACTACACTAAGGAAGGTCAAGGTTAACTTGGGTTGACCTTGTCAATTTGTCAGTGACCCTTCTTCTCTGACTTTACAACCCGAGAGGGTGAAGCTCAAGACGAGGTGAAGAAGAAGAGGTGACTCCGTTGAACAGCCCTGGAGCGTCTGTCAGCTTGTATAGGGTGCCAAAAAGGACCAGATTTAGTCGGCTTCGACGATCACTTTTAGCAGTTTTGTAGAAGTCAGTGGAAGATGCCCACTATCGTCAAATGTTGACGGCAGGGGTTCAAAAACATGTAATTAGTCCAGCAGAATAGTCTGATTGCATATTTGCATATCAATCAATAGTTTGTGCTTATAATCCTGCATTTCTCCTCTGGTCTCTCAGTCACTGACGAATGCTAGTAGATACTACCTGAAACATCTAGCCGTTTCCAAAATCATTTATCCAGTTGCTTGAGTAACTGCTTTTTGGCGAGTCCTGCAGAATGTCTAGGCAGCTAAGACTACTACTGCCACTCTCTGACGGAAGCAAAATCGACTTACATAATAAGCTACTTTCATCAATCGATATGTTGACTTGAACATGTTAATTCATGATGATAATAATAGTATAAAACAATAATGGTCCCGAATAACATTTTGAGTGCTCTACACACAATGGGCTCTACCAGAAATGTTCGAAAAACATTCTGGAACTCCTAGCTATTCACTTGGGGTTCGAACTCTTCTGACCGCGCTGTTTACTGGTCAAACTGTTTACCACCTCCGAAAGACTGCGCCTCTTCTTCACCGGTGAAGTCTGCTGGGAAGAGCTGTTGACTTTCTGTGACTGAGCGTCACGAGTTGTCCTGCTGACGTCATTCGTCACGTGATGGACATCCGGGGTCTTGACTGCTGTGGCTGATGGCTCATCAAGACCAACCGGATGTGACCGGAATGAACTAGTTTGCCGGACACTGTGGTCCACCTTTCCCGTTACTGTTAGATCCACCGGATGGTAATCCTTATCACTCCACACCACGCCTTCCTCATATGATCGCTTCATCTTCTTCAAAGCACGGATCGCCTCTTGTGATTCTTGTAGCTTCCTTTTCAAGGCGGAGGTGCGAGAGAAGAATCCTCGGGGATAAAGATCCTCAGTAGCCAGGTAACCACTGCGTCCACTTCTGACGAAGGAACGTTTTGTAGTCAGCTCGCCCGTGTTGGTTATGCTGCTTGCACTCTGAGTATGGTCTCTCGAAGGCATGTACACAATTGATGGACGTACTCCATCATACGAGGGTGCAAAAATTGGTTTTCCTCGAGTGTCAGTATTGGTCGTTGGAACGTTAATGAGTCCGCCGTTGGAAGCCTTCACGAGGAAGTTGAGCAGCAGTGCTTTGCTGTAAACGTCTGGTGTGACTTGCAATGTGTTTAGGGGTACACCGGTAGGTAGTGAGCGTGTCGTGGCGGTGACACTGGTGGCGGTTGTGGCCTGACGACTGACCGGCCGAGCCGCTGGCCCTGACATCCTGTCGAACTCCTCCAGGCTGATGGACTTGATGTCCGAGATTGTTGGTAAACTGTCCGTCATTTTGGCCACGTTTCTTCAGCTTGTTTCCTGTGTGCAATGCTGTTGGTCAGTTCCAAATCCCCCACAGCTTCCTCTTTACAACGAGGATCTTATCGCAGAATATCCCCCGGATACGATCTCAAGAGGAAATCAAAGTGCCCGCAGATCTGGAATCCGAGGTTGCTGCCAAAGCAAATTCTGCGTACGAAAGAAAAGAGGCCCGTATTAGGTATCACCGCTGAAGCGATTGCGCAACTACGCGATGTCATTGCACAATCACTATGAATTTACTAGTCATGAGGAAGTGAGTCATGCCAGAACAAAGGTTGAACAAATGCCAGAGCAAATGTTGGTGACACGTATACATTCACTACCTCATGTGATATACGCCCTTGTTTACATTCTAACATCTTAACACTTCGTTCGCCTTAATTAAACACTCACCCATGTATAATGAATCAGTTCGTGTCGCCGAAGTTGAATGGTAAATAAAACCGTTCTATGACTTAGCAAGCTCCTTGGTGACACCAAAAACAAGTCGTGCGTGACATTGTACAACGAGGACGGAAATGATTTGCTTGCGTATTATAAAACGAGTCAAAGAGTTGTCGACCGCCATTTAAATTTGGTCCAAATTTGTACTCATGTGACTGAAGTGGCCGTGGCAAACAGGCGGTCCTGTTGTGGCCTGTTGTGGGATATCAGATAACAATCTCAACGATTAAGTACACAGAACAGGTACTAGTAACAACCGTTCAGCACGAACAGTGAACTACATACATATAATCCATATACTCACCCTGTTGTCTGATCGTTTCCGCACAAGAATCTCTCTGACGACCTGTATAGTTGCAGCTGTTACAAATCCTTCATCACCCAACGACGGCCTCTATTTATAAGAGGCCACCCAAACCGGTTTTAACCGGTCCAGAGCGGTTGGCTATAAATAGCCTAAGGCCCACTAAGTCAACAGACAACATAGCTACCCTACTATTGTGTATTGACCCGTGAGTAACGACATTCTGACCAGACAACATGAGTCAGAACAGGGAGCAAAAGTCGTTTACGTCATGTAATGTGAAATTGCTGTTTAACAACTTTGATGAATTACCTCTAGCATCATTTTTCACCATTACTCTTGGTTGCTTTTCCTGTTCTCTTTTTCATTTTCACCGCAACCACAAGGAAACTGCAACCGTGACTGACTTTTTGCAAGACGTCGAAGGACAAGGAACAGACAACTATCTTAAGGTTTCTTTGTTGTAAACATAAAAGAATGGCCTTCCTTTGAAATTTGCTGTGTGCCTACATTGCCTTTCGTCTGACCGTATTGAATTGTACCATGAACTCTCTAGCTAGCCTACCAAAAATACGAGATACCAGCACAGAAACTGCACATTACAAACATGCAAATATAACTTCTCCAATTGGTAGCTTAAAAACATTAATTGAATGTCACAAACATCCATGCTACATTATAATTGTATCATAAAAATAACCGTTTTGAAGTATAGTAATCAGCAAAGAAACTATTGATGTGTAAGATGTAATTGCTGACTGCATCTCAATTTCAACTACAGTGCTTACCTTCCTCAAATTAATTTGTATACACATGTGTATCAGATTTGTAATGATGAATGACGTTACTTTCTATGACTGTCATTACAGAATAAAGGGTGTCGTTACTACCCTCACCTTCGCAGAGAAAATCACCTGTTTCATTCCGTGCTAATCAACGGTCCTTAGTCTGTCGCCATGGCAACCATTGACGTCACGTATTTACAAAGAAGTGGTGTCGTATTCCACCCCCCTAATTGGCTTTTTACATGCGATATAACGTGTTTATTACATCTGTACTTCCAGGCAAATTTGTCTCAGTCAATTAAGGAAACAAACTGTGAGGAGAATGACAAATCATGTTGATCAAAATGTTTAGTCTTCTGCTAAAATAAATTCGCTATAAACTTGTAAATTCACATTTGTTTCACATATGTCTGACTGTTTGTGGTGTAACCGACCAATATGGCCGCCGCGGCATCCCGTGGAACCAAAATCTACATACCTTTCAACACTGTTTCTAATACTGATTTTTAGTCAGAGAACCCACCCGAAGTCTTCTGAGGTATTTATTCCCTTGATCTTCTTCTGTTCCTTATAAATAATATAATGCAAGTTAGGAATTTATTACTTGGTTTTTGACTTGTCGAAGTTGGACTTTGCAATAGTCACTGTGAAAGATGATGAATACTAGTCTGCATATGCCGCTTGAATGGACATGCTGCCATGTTGAATTTGGTGGTTTGATGTTACTTACCGTCACAAATAACATCGATTTCATAAAATAATTGGCGAGCCATAGTAACGAACATATGCTAGGAAAGTAAATGAAACCAGCCATTTCCAATCTCTATAGATGGGTCTAGTTTTGCTCAGTCACATCATGTAGCTAGAGCCTGGGTACCAATTAAAAGCTTTCTTTCGATTCACAATGACTTCAGGGTTTGGCCCAGCTGGACAACAAATCGGTAATGAGTTTCTGGAACGTGTGTTAACGAATCGTGCGACTTACGTCAAAGCGTAAAGACCCCACGGCGTGAAACGGATTATGACTTTAAAGCCTCCCACAAGCCTGTTGATTCCATTGGCGTCACAGGAATACACGTAAGTCTTCACAACATCGGGTGTTGTGGGAACATGTGTACAAGCCTCTTGCCTTGGCTGATGCGTGATAAATGATGAAAGGTTAGTAAGTTTATCTTATACTTGGTATCTGTTTGTGCCCATGTGTTTAAGCGTATGTGTGTGTATGCGTGTGTGTGTGTTCATCATACGTGTACATTTCAATAGGGTAGGGTTGCTAAAAGCCTATCTGATTCCAATTACCGAGATATGACGTCATAATTTCTGTTGAAGCTTTAGTTCTTTGAGCAGCAGCTGCTTCCAACCGTGGGAATACTGGGTACAGTGCGCCGCTTAAACATGTATTTAACTAACTGGGAAACGATATATAAATGCCCGTAAGTTCAGTACAAAACTGCCTGTCTTTCAAATTCTCACCATGTATTAGTCTAGTTGTTGCTATTCACACAAAAATACATTTATTTCAAAGGTACGTTCCATCAAGGAATCAATCATTTCCATTTAAGGTATGGAAGGCCATTTCCGTTTAACCAGACTTCGTGACTGAGAGCGTTAATTGAGTACTGACAAGATACCCGTATTTATAAATTGCCACTATCTGTTAGTCGAGAGGTTGTTATTCGCACAAAAATACAAAATTTATTTACAAGGTAAGTAATATCAATGAAAAATTACATTTATTTAGAAGGTAAGTTATACATCAATGAGTCGATCATTCCCAATTAAGGTATGGAAGGCCATTTTCGTCGTCACTCAAAGAGCGTTAATTGACTACTGACAAGAAAGATGCATACGGTTTCATGCACTTCATGTTTATAATCAAGTCACAACAATAAAACATCCTTGCGTAATAATGGTAGCCTTGATAATGATAGCCTCCTTCGCAGACTTGTTGGGCGTCGGCGTTATTTGCCGCGGAGGGACGATTTTGCTGCCGAGGAAGTTTTTGCTGTGGAGAGAAGGTTTCGCGCTCCAACAAGTCTGTTTCCAGTCGGCGATCAAAAAGGGCTATTAAAAAACACTTGGCATGGGTGTGTGAATTTCCCGCAATAAACGCCACCAGGACAGGTCGCCGACTGGAAGCAGACTTGTTGGAGCGCGAAACCTTCCCTCCACAGCAAAAACTCCCTCGGCAGCAAAATCGGATCTCGAGCTCCGCGGCATATTACTCGCGTCGCTCACAGAAAAAAAAATAATAATAATAACGCTGACGCCCAACAAGTCTGCGAAGGAGGCTACGATAATGGCAAGTTCACGAGATAAAATCTCCCCATTGAAGTAGAACATGGCAGATGCATTAGGAAGATTAAAATTCCGAAAGCACATTGTCATGTCTATGGGCGTGCAATCTACTGTAATAATTGGCTACTTTTCTTTGTAAAAGTCCCAGTGCTGGTGCACACTGTCATCACATGAAAATATCGTCAGATATATAAATGTGTAAGGTATGTAGAACATGTCAATGTAAGAATGCCTTTAGCATACTGTACATGTATATGAGAAACAAGAAGAAAACAGCACAGCATTGTTGCAAACATTTTAATTGTGTAAAAAGGTTCTGTAACAATAGAGCCCCTCCCCCTGCACGACATAATCATGAAATGTGTATGTCTAAATATGATTAAGTGTTAAGGACGATGCATTAGGCAGATTGGACTCCCACTCACATATGTTGTTTAACGTGTAATCAGCTGGCGATTAACGGCTGTCTTCTTTGTCGAAAATCTGGCGAATCCGTCCTCAATATTATTTTGTACTCACAACTAGTAGGTATTCCAATACAGGCTAACTCACTTTGAAAGTTAGCACTGGAAAACTGCCAATATTCGTTTTTTTTAAACACTATCTGGCAGTCTTCTTTGAACGTGTTCGATATATGAAGATTTTGAATGTAATACCAAATATCACGATTCTTTTCCATCATCATGCACTGTCGTGTATTCAAGTTGACTCGGACGCCATATTTTCTGTTTATACCCTTTAGCTCTCCGTATATATATACCGATTAAGAGAATCATTCAACTGAGATAGAAAGAGGAAAAGCTATCTATTCTCATGTGGAAGATGTCAAACATTAGATAAAGTTCACGTCCGACTACTAGTATATATGAGGCAACGTACGAAAAAACAAAGTGCAAATTGAAATGTAATTCTTAGCGAAAAGCTATCATCACAAACGTAACGTCAATGACATCGTGAAAGATGCGATATAAAAACTTTTCCATAAACATGATATAGCGTGAAATATAGATATCTTACCTTATCAGCAGTCAAACTATTACTACAAATTGTCTCCTTTGAAAGCAGTAAATAAAAATGTACTAGTATTCAAATACATGAGTACGATCCGTACTACCGATAGTCTATTCCGTACCAGGGGTTGTAGGCATCACCGAGTCTCTTGGACAGAGCCTGGACCATCTCATCGAGACGGCCATGTTTTCCCACAGTAGGACAGACGGGTCTGTCACCAGGATGGATGGACCTGTCGTACTGTCGTTTCCTGCTGCTGGAGATACCTTTGTCAGTCTTTCCGTGGACAGGCACTTTTGTTGTCCCCGCTTTCTGTGTAGAACGGCAATCTGGAAGCATCATCTGACGACCATATTTCACAGGAAGGCCGTTGTGTGGCGAAGGTTTCCCAGACTCTCCGGAAAGATGGAGTTCGATACTGGGTTTTCTTTTGCCTCTTTTGCGCTTAGCTTGGAGGAAGCTGTTTCTTGTGGCCAAGGTGTCGGTTTTGGTCGAGGCCCGTAGGCTTCTCTTTCCCTCAATGATGCTGTCTGGACAATCTTTGCCGCTACTGTGGAGGTCTGTTGCAGAAGGCAAGGGTGCTTTAGGGTTGGACTTTTTGCTAACGGTCAGATCGATTGGTTCGTGTTGTTGGAAGATATCAGTCGAGCCAGAAACAAAACCGTCGTCTTTCGTACTCCCAATCTTCTGAAGATCTTTCTCAGTTTCAAGAATTTTTTCCTTCAGGTGGTCGATCTCCTCTTTGAGTGATGCTTGGTTGTCTGATGAGCAGGGTTGTCTGCAGTTCGCTTGTGATAGATCAATCGGCTTTATCTCCGGCGGTTCAGAGTTTGGCACTTTGTGAATGGCGCGGGGGCCCGGGTACGGCTGTGGCTTGGACACAACCTGGTATTCGGTTGCCGCCTCATTTTTTGGCGTTGGTGGCAGGGGTTTGATATGGGCTGCGGGCACTGCTGTACCTTTGGTTGAACTGTGAAATGGTTTCCCTCCCACCCTTCCATTCTGTGCCCAAGGCTGTGATGCTGCTTCTTCAGGAAATTTAGGTCTCTCTGTTACACCTTTCTGCTTAGCGTTGTTCACTCTAGAGAGATAATCCACCAAGCCCTTCTTCAGGGAAGCCAGGGATTCTTGCACGCACGCCCGTGGATGCTTTTCATAGCTTGGGACATTGCTCGTGAGGAATGGAGCAGAGCTAGCAAAAGCGAAACCAGTATTCATATTATTCTGGGTGAGAAATACTTGCCCCGCTTGGAGGAATTCACGCTGTTGTGTGGAAGACCCATCACGGCCCTTTGTCACTTTGCCGGTGGCGACAGCCGCCATGTTGTTGAATTCCTCCGGCGTTATGGATCTGGCGTCTACAATAGTGGGTGTCGGGAATGGCGACTGCTGTTGCTGCTTCTCAAACTCACGTGTACCGCTACAGACGCCTTTAGCGGAAGGACCGATCGGTTTACACAGCCGTCTCCTCAGTTCTTCCGTACTCTGTCTGTTGCCATTTTTAGAGGCCATGGTTGCGGGCAGGATCACGGAGGGCTGCTTGTCCGTTGAAGTGGAAGAGAGAATCGGCAGCAAGACGACCGCAGATGCCGTCCAAGTAGTACCCAGGTCCCCTCGCCGGGTTCCGTGCGACAGCTACTGAAACAAAAGCGCTTCCTGCATAAATCACTTTCCTTGTCACCAAAAAACAAACAAACAATAGGTAGCACTGGTAATAAAATCCACCTAATGTCGGTGTGCAGATTTTTCCACTTTGTAGATAAACTATATATAAGTGGACAATACAGTTCATAAACTAGGATATATCCTACATAGAAACAGCCATGACATAGCAGAATAAAACGTCTGTATGCTGCGAACAAAGCAGGAAACTTTCTCACGCCGAATCTCTTATCTACACTGCAACTGTGGTGCCGTCTCTCAAAATGGCTTCCGGCAAAACCGAACGCCAGTATTAGTCTGCAATATATTCTATACTTTCATACCCAGCGCTGCGGATTCCAAACAGGATGTGCCACAAAATCACTTTGTTGTGGGACGTGGGGATCTCTCCTGTAGCTGTCTATCTCCCTCCCTCCTGTGGATTACTGTTCAGGCTCTAGAATCGGCGGCGGCGGCTCGGTTCGAGTTTACCGGAGTATTGAAAGGGCGAACTCTGGGCAGCCGTAATGAGTCTTCTACAAACATGTCAACGTGGCAGACAAGCATTCATTGGGCGTGGCCAACGGCCGCGCGTGACGCAATGGGGCATACTAGTACTCAAATGGCCCGACAAGTCAAGGGCTCGGCATCTGCTCCCAGTTTACAACCCCGCAAGACTGAGTACAGGCGATAGCGCCGATGCAAATTTCCGTCTCGTAAACGGTCGTCGCCTTTCCGAACGGTCGTCGCCTTTTCTCCGAACGGTCGTCGCCTTTCGGAGCGGTCGTCGCCATTTCTGAGCGACCGAACTTCAGTTCCGAATATCCGCGGCATGTTCGGGACTTCCCGGAGTTCTTGGAATGTGTGAATCGCACTCAGTCCATAACATGGCGACCGTAGGCGGGCCAGAAAAGTAACTTGTCTCCTCAACTGCTGATTTTATAAGATCAGCATACGATCCTAGGCCTGGATCTTCTCCAGCCTTTTCTTGTTTCCCTTCGCCAACAAACTGAAGAAGGGTTCATATAATGCCGTTTATACAAATGACAAATGAATCTTCAACCAAAAACAAACATACTAGATTCCGTCCCTGTGCTATATTTCTCAATCCCTGTGGTATGTATTCCTTTCGTTTATGTAAAATTCATGTAGGATTAATAAAGGACCTGCTGTTTTAGAAGGGGGACAATGTCTTACTTTGACAGGAGTTTTGACAAACTTGTAAAGCTATTTTCATCCCGAAATGTCTATGTTTTTTTACCTGCTGAATGTTAATACTTTGACACATTCACCACTGCACTGTATGTAAATACGACACATTCACTGGGTAGCACATCAATGCCATGCTGGTGACAAGTGTGAAATGGCCTGCTATGCTGGGCAAGCACTGAGACAACAAAATAAAACCCGGCTGTGGTGGAGTTGTGAGTCAGTCAGTCAGGACATAATGTCCTTGGTCAGAGTAAATGCCTGCATGTGTGATGGTGCTTCCGAATGAATGTTTCTGAGTCAGACCATCCTGCAGCATTCATAAATTACATGCTCGCACAATGGGCTGTTCCAAAAATACATGTGGAGTTTTTCTCGCCCCCGTTTCAAATTCAGCAATGTATGAAAACCTACAAACGTTCTAGTTCAGAGGGTTTTTTTTTCAAATAATGTTTATTCGCATTTCAAAAGGAAACAAAGAAAAAAGGGAGAGGACATGTTCACATACAAGAAAAATAAATACCCAGAGACATTCGAGTTCAGAGTTACCCAAACCCTTCCCGTTCCAATCGAGAATTTCTCAAACACTAACCTAGTTCTAACCTAGATAATTCAACCCCCGGAACTTATAATTATAATACATGTACTAGCACCCACGCAACTTCAATCCACCTAGCCAAGTTCTGGCCCGTCTTCAGTCGCGATGTTATCTTCAGGAAGTGTGATTTCACACATTCAAAGAACTCGGGGAAGTCCCGAACATGTCGCGGATATTCGGAACTGAAGTTCGGTCGCTCGGAAATGGCGACGACCGCTCCGAAAGGCGACGACCGTTCTGAAAAAAGGCGACGACCGTTCGGAAAGGCGACGACCGTTTACGAGACGGAAATTTGCAGCGCCGATCCCTCACTGACTGATACCTCAATGCAAATATGGCCACGGTCCAGGGAATACAAAGTGCAGCGGAAAACCACACAATGTAGGGTTCCCCTAGCATTTTATCTGTCCACAACTATTCCCGGATGTATATACTGTCTTTTCATGCGTTAACTTGGACTAACTACAACTGAACGGATTCCATGTAATGTAGTCATGTCATAACCAAAATAAAAGGACAGCAATGATCTTCCCTTCCTTTTAAATAAATTTGGTTGAGCTAATATTGCATTTTGGTCACGTAGGACTTGATGAGAGTCAACAGGAAAGCAACTGAACCGGAGAAAATTGCTGATCATTTTCTGTTGGAGGGAACAAAGGTTTGACGGACGTGCCCTCTGGTCAAATTGCTGATTGGAACGACACAACGATAGTGATGTTTTAAGCCTTGAGCGCACTCTTCGTATTCTGTGTAGTATTATTACTATTAAAGCGTGATCACATTGACTAGTCTGTTGTTTGTATAGCAAGTGCACGCTTTACCGATGGCCCCTTGAATTTGCACATACATGTATTTGTTTTAATCAAACCGCTTTGTTTGTATTAGATGCGAAGTATGACAGTAGGGTGACTAGTATGAGGAACAAAGAAGAAAACACAACAAAAAGGAACAATGAGTTGAAAAAAAGGACGCCGTCACTGAAAACAGACGATTCGTGTTCAAAGAACCGGGGTTTTGAACTATCATGAAGAGAAAGTGGTCACTATTAATAGATACGGAAGGGTCCTCCTAAAGAGGTTTCAAACTTAATGACTAGTGACAATAGACTGTGAAATAAATCACTAAGTCATTAAAAACGACAGGAATAGTAATTGCTTTTAGTACACAGACGGGTCAGTTAAACCATGGAGGTAGAAGAGAGACCTCCATGGTTAAACCTGTCTAGAACAATGGCTACCTTTACAATTAGTCTAGAGATCTTTCGTCTTTACAACGGATCTAGAAACACAGTTTAAACGCTCTCTGCGCGCTCTTTAGACACTGAATTGTATTGCACTGTGGCCCAGACTCTCTTTATAGCTTTACTTGGAGTTTTGATGGCATACACGTAAGTGGGACTGAATTACGAAAGTGTGTACAATGGCTCAGTAATTTGGCGCCTACTTTTAGGTCAGTGACCCCAGGTGTGGCCATGAGACAGAATATTCATTAAAAATTTACACCAGGGTGTGTCCTTGCTGGCGCTATTTTAAGAAGTGTGGTGCATTCTTAAACTTTCTTGAGGCACCCGGCTGGTATGTCCGTGTAGCTCAGATTTCAATGTGACTTCACCTGGTCATGGATTACGGGGTGATATTTCTTTATTTATATGCAATACCAAATTTTACGTGGGAGAAACTTAAAGAGCAGTAATGGTCAAATAATGGACCTATAGCTAGGACCTTAGACCTACCTCCATGCTAGGATCTAGGACGAGCTTCACCGCCTTTGGCGGGACCACGTCGGCATTCGGCTGAGATACGCTGGGAGGGGGGGGGGGGCACCAGCAAGCAGGTCGTTGACCTCTGACATTAATAACACGCTACCTTGCGTGTTTTCATCAAACAACAATCAATGCAGTATCGGAGAATCGTTATCGGGCACGGTTTGAAAGGAATGTGTGGCAGGTGGACCAGATGTGAGGAATGCGAGTTACCGAATCGCGGTTCGGGTGGTTTCTTATGAATAAGGCTTTAAACGGGTGGGCCGGATATTACTTGGCGGATCGGATATTGCGACGGCCGCTTATCATACCATTTATGAGCCACCGCGAAAATTGGACCCTTGAATGTTGCCTGGCTACAAAAATCAAACATGGTGCCACACGTCACCAACTCTTGTCAAACTAAAATATAATGCAATCTAAAATCAATAAAGTTTTGTGATGTCTGAAGTAAAGATAAATGTCTAAAGTAATGAGTAGATATTAGGCGTGGACTACCAAGTAAACATAGTCGTTTTAAGTCAACGTGTTTAAAGCTAACAATGTAATGTTGAGGTCTAATTCAGTTTGCTGTAGTCAAGAACTAAGAAAATTTTCAGGCATACAGTAAACCATGGAGGTATAGAAGAGAGTAAACTAAACCAAATGGAATGCGATTAACTATAAGCTTGTCCTAGGATTACCAAAATTTACTAAAAACTGTAGAGTACCAAATATCACCTTTGCTAAACACTTTAGGGTACCACCAAAAATTACTTATACTAAACACTTTAGAGTAACAAAAATTACATTTACTACTAAACACTAAGCTTCATAGTACCAAAATTACCTTTACTAAACACTTAAGAGTATAGAAAATTGCCTTTAATAAAGTACCAAAATTTACCATTTTTTACTAAACACGAAGGAGCTTTGAACTTAGCCTCTGTATATAGCAGGCTTATAGAACTGGGGGTTTGGTGGTCTTCTGCTGTTTTCCATAAGCCCAGTTCTAACGGGGGTAATTCAATCAGGCCGTCTATATGCAATCAGAAAATAGCACATAAAAGACCCTGAAGATCCCCCAAACCCCCAGTTTTTGGCATGCTATGGAGGTTAGGCCATGTTGATTTGATTATATGGATGACATCCTCCGGGAGCCCCAAAACTGATGCGCGCGTGCGAATAAACAAAAGTTTTGCTAAAAAAAAAGTTGTTTTCATTATGAAATCTGCGTGGTCATGAGGGTTGAACAAATGGGACAGAATATGGTTTGGCGAATAATCTAATCTTCAAGTTCATTTCCTTACAATTTCGTCTTTTTTCGTTTGATTTTGGCATTCTACGACATTTGTATAGTTTTTACTTATTTTTTTGTAACTTACGGTATATTTTTGCTCATTTTGCAACTGTTTTGTACGATTTACAGTATTGTTGAAAACTTTTTTTTTTTGGAAACGGCCGAAATTCATGCGCGCGCGGATGTCATCCATATAATCAAATCAACATGGCCTTACTTAGAACTATAGAACTATCCCCCACAACTTGTCGTGTTGACAGCGCAAACATCCCGTCTGACGGACTAGTGGGATTAAGGAGCCTGAGCGTGATGACTACGGGGCGTGACAGCCACACGGTCGCGCAGGCAGGTCGTGACAAAGGGCCAAGCTGAACGGTTCTCGGAATACGTGATGTGAATACAAAAATACTGGCGTCCCAACAGTGACCACATTATCTAATAGTACATATGGCAAATCTGAACTGGAAATCCATGTGACATTACGTAAGTGCAAGAAACCATAGGGTTGGGTCTTTTCACAGAAAAAAGTTTTTTTTGAGTTTCGTGACGCCCTACGGAACCTTTTGTTCGCAATTCTTCGTACCATGCCCCCTGGAGCTATAACAGAGATCCATGCATTGTCGGTCAGATCGAACTAGATCTCTTAGCAGATTCATTCTGGAGCAGGGGATTATCAAACTGGCCCCACGAGTTGACGTTACCATGCGTGGCGTGTTGGGTACTGACCTGTCAGTTTGATACTGTCTCGCCAATTTTGATACTGTTTTCAGCCACCAAGAGATCTGCCTCAGTGTGACATTTTAAACGCTTGTGCACCCACCCACTTCGTAAAACACTATGAGCCAAT